CTCGGGAAACACCGGGCGTCCTTGCTGCCCCCTGAGGGGAGGGCGATTCTGGGCTGCGCGATTGGGGGACTTCGTGGCTTTGGGTGGGTGGGTGGGCGGGAGCGAGGACGGATGGAGTCCGTGAAGTGGGGCTTGCCTGCCCTTGCTGGCTGCCTCTGCTTCCTTAGGGGCGGGGAAGGGGGCTCATCTGGACCAAGGGTGAGTCTCCCCCTCAGTTTCCCCTGAAGGATCTTCCGTCGCTTTTGCCTTCTCCCTACATCTTCCCTCTGTTAAAAATCCCCCCCCCACACACTTATTTTCGGGCGGATAGATTTCATGTCTGAGCATTCTCACATGGCGGTGGGTCTTCCCCCCCCCTAAAAACAATTAAAAAAAGAAAAAACATATCCTCATGCAAGAACTTTTCTGCTTCCGATTACCCCCATGCTTACAAGTTGCAAAGGAAACACGGAAGCAGGGAAGCGGCTGCCCAGCTCCAGAGCTCCACACCATTTTTTTTCAGAGGGGAATCTGACTCGAGTATAAGCCGAGGGGGATTTTTTCAGCACAAAAAATGGGCTGAAAAACTCGGCTTATACTCGAGTATATACGGTAATCTTTGTCTGGAAGTCCTGCAGAGTGAAGATATTGTAGCAAGCTGAATATTTTGAGGACTTGACCAATTTGTTTTTGGAGATTACAATAACTTTTAATTTTTTATCCTGAAAAATACACATAAAATAGTTTCCCAAAAATGCCCAGCAAAATTCATATTTAGTAATATGAGCACGTTAACAATTTTTACCCCCCTCACTTCATTTTCAGCTCTTTTTACAATTCATAAGGCAAGCTGAGTAGCGTTATAAAAGTCAACATGAAGTCATTAAGATATTATGACCATAGGGAACATTTCAAGCAAATCCTGTTCTTTTCTTCCTTCTTTCTTCATACAGTCTGAAGGATCACATGTTGTGTTTAGATCTGGTAACCTTGAGCCTGACTGGGTTGTCTCATATCAAGTTACCATCTTATTCTCTCCCTATGCTGTTTGTGCTTTTTTTTAGATCACAAGACCAATTTATTTATTTTGAAATTTTATCTAGATGCCTTATGCCATCCCTATTTTAATTTTTAATTTATTTATTTTTTATTTTATTTGGTTTGTCAATTGCTTACAAGGTAATAGGTATAAGTAAAAACATAGTTATGAATACATTATTATTAATCCTCTCAATCGCTCTGAAAAGAGGGTAAGAAAAGTGACTCTTGCAGTTGAAAAGAAAAACTGGGATCTTCTAAATCATTTGTATAGCCATACCACAAATGCAAGTGCAATAATTAGGTAATGTTTGTTAAAGTCAGCTTAGAGACATGATTCAGAGTAATTTTAAAAGAAATGAAACAAATTAAATTAAACACCTCAGCATTTCCCAACCTGACATCCTTTTGATGTGTTGGAATTGCAATTTGCAGAGTTTCCAGGTGATATTGTTGGAATTGTACTCTAAACCCAATTAAAACAACTGCTTAATATCCTAGTTTGTTGATCTGTTTCCATAATTGTCCAATTTAAATGAACTGGAAATCTTGGCAGGCAGGCAGGGCTGCATTTGCATAAAGAACTTATTCATATTTCAGGTTAAAAAGGATACAAGAAGCATGGGCATATAGTTAATGAATGTTTGGCATAAGGGAAGCCTATTTTTGTTGACTTTTGGTGATGGGGCATACAGTTTATCAGTTTTCAAGGGAAGTCATGAGGTCCCCAGTTTTAAAACTTTTAAACGTTTTCAAAAGTTTTTATTTTCCAGATTGTACTATAAAAATGTTGCAGAATCAAGTCTCAAATATTCTGCAGCCTATTTGAAAGGATAGTCTCTCTCCTGACAAGCCCTATAAGAAAAGGAGAGAATACCAGCTTTAGCTAGAAAGTGAGGCCACTTCAAACTTTTTAGTAAATGTAAATGCATAGGATTTGCAACTGTTTAGCATCTGCTCAAGAAGCAAGCTCAGTGTAAAAGGGTTTGAAAACTTACTTTTCCAAGAAGATAGATAGCCATTAACATACACATTAATGCTTATTCTAGTTTAGCACATTCTAAGAGGAGCTTTGATATCTCAGTAACTAGTAACCTACTCCATTAGTTTCATTTAGGTTCAGCATGGATCTTGATGTCATGCTCCTAATTATTTCTTGCTCTTAGGTCACAGCTACTTTCTGAACCCAGCTGGGAAGGTTGGTATATTTGTAAATTAAGTGTAGAAACCAAACATGCTATAATTGATATTTCAACTTATTGCTTTCTTTAATCAGTAGCTTACTTCCATGCACATAAAATGTCCTTCCTTCACCAGGTTATTTCCAGTTTGCCCCAAATCTTCATATTTCAACCACTGTTTGTCTATGTCAAGCTTGTATTCCTTGTGGCGCTTAATAAGCAATTCAGTTCCCAGAAGATCATTTGCTACCTCTTCTGAAACAATCAGGGAATGCATCTTTCTTGCCCAGGCTCTGCAAAAAATCCCAATTAAAACATCAGATTTAATTATGAGATACATTGGGTACATGGCAAGTAAATAATCCATGCATAACTTAAAATGTGAAATCCAGCTTCCACTGTATTATTATTCAAAAGCATTGTAGGTAGATACAAGTATAGTATACATTTATCCAAAAGTTTTTTAAATTTGCTGTACCAAGATTTTATCTGCACCCTCCCCACCCCTTTACTATTATGAAAGGAAGTTCAATCAGGCTAATTCATACATACGTCAACTCTCTGCAGTCATTGAAGTAGACTTGGACTTTTTCAGCCTGATGCAATTTCAGCTTTCTTTCCACACACTTCTTGTCTAGTTTCTCCCAGCAGTCTTCAACCTCAGAAAGTCTGTTCATCATGTTCTCTCTGGGCAGAGGGTAGAGGCAGCCTAGGCGCCAGGCGTCTCCTCTAACTCTTTCCAACTCTTTTGCAATGGCTGCTAGTTCCCTCTGAAATACACAAAGGAAAACTAACTAGCTTGGAATATTCAAGCCCCCCTCCCGCCATTTTTTGCTTCTTTCCCATAGGGCTTCATATCTTTTTTACTAGGTAGAGTGAGATGGATCTGAATCATCTGCCATTAATACAATCTCAAACAACATGAAGAAGGAAATGATCTGAGAAAAAGAGGAAGTCAGAACAGAGAGAGAACATTGAAAGAACTGATGTAAGATGGCATCCATGTATCACCTAATAAAGAGGAAGGGGCTTCTGGCTAATGTAAAAGTCCCATCGCAAGCTTGGTCAATACTTCCCTACTTACATTAGGAAAGCAAATGACAGATATTTTTCCTGCCAGCCGGAAAACTGTCAATTGATTTCCTTAACTCATCCCAAAATAAACTTTTCAGGATAACAGCACTTTCACCAAAGATGAAAGAGGTAATCTGTCAGGGCAAAGCAAACTGCCCACTCAGCGACTTGAAGAAAGTTCATTGATTTGACAAAAACGAGCAATCCTAATTCTCTTTGATATTTTGATGTTAATATACATTTATATTCTGTTTACACTTTGTTTTTGTTATGTTTATTATTGTTACTCTTTTACTATTTTCGTTACTCTATTTTAGGGGCATGCATAAGTGCACCATCGTGCCTACCATACCTGTCTTATTGTCCCCATTTATTCGTACCTATTTCCTGTATTCTTACTCATGTTTATACTTATACCCATTTTATTGTTTTCTTTAAAAAAATCAAATATCTCTCAGAGCAGCAATATGAAATACAATAAATAAAAAATAAATGGTTAAGATAACTCTGAGTAGATTGCTATTAAGAAGCTTATATTAAGAGAGCAGCTAATTTCTTTAAGGCAGTGAACAATAATCCCATCATTGGAAATTCTGTAGACTGAAATGTCAGATCTTTTGATTATATATTTAAAGTCTGTTTTTTCGAAGTGACTGTTTCTAGTTACCTCTACTCCTTCATGTTGACTAAGGAGGGTCTGAACTCCAAGTAGGTCATAACCATAATCATCTCTGGTCACAACAGCCTCTTTCTCCTGCATCCAGCCTTTTAGGTCATCCACATCACGATCATATTGATGAACTTGATGAGCTGCTTTGAGATTCTGATGAAAAGAAAAATGTTTCAGTAAGACTTGTCCCTAACAAACCAGTTTAAAAATGCTCATGATGTAAGGCAGATACAAGTGAGGGATACTGACTCACATTGCTGTAGTATCATACATTCGTGTGTATGTTCATGTTCTAAATATCTGATCGGTTTCAGATACATCAGCTTCATTTTTAAGGAAAATGCTGGTTGTTTTACACAGTTACTACCAGTCAACAAACATTATTCTAATGGTGCAAGAAGATCACACAGAGATAAGTCTTGCTTCTATCAAATACTGTGTGCATTATCAGTGGTACTTGTAATAGCATTATATGATGATGAACGATAAAATCACACCATACTTTTCCCCTTGTTATCCTGCGTTCAAGGATTCAATTTCGTGGATGAGCTTGTCCATAATTTTTGATTATATATAGTAACTCAAAACGTATAATCAACAATTTTCAATCATGACAACACTGCCATAATGCAAAAGTGGGCCATATATATATATATATATATATTCAACACACTTCTTTTACTTAATATAACTGTATAATAGGGAAGCTCAGAATCATTCTGCCGATCTAATTTTTTTTTAAAAAAACTACAATAAACGACTGGGGTGGTATGTGACTCATGACCCAAACATGGCTCATTCATGTCCTAAGGAGCCCATCTGGATACTAGGAAGCTCACCTCTACTCTTGTTTGGATAGCTTGCTGCAACCTTTCCCATCTGTCATGGATATCCTGGTTTTTTTTCTGGATGTGGCTTATTTGATTGTGACACACAGTTCTAAGATGAGATGCTAGATTGTTTATCAGTAGAACTTTTGTATGGCCTAGAGTTTCTACCTCTTTCATAAAATCTTCAAATTTTTTCTCCAGAACCTGTAGCATCAACAAAGAAGTAGCAGTCAGAGTTATTCAAAATCTTCCTCCTATTTCTTGATATTAGTCTTGAGATAATATTAAAAAGTGGTGAATAAGGCTTGGAAAGTCACTTAGCATTTTTTAAAAGTGTATGCTTAACAACTAATAATAAGCATATGTGAACGATTGCTATCTGTAGTCAATCTCATGTAACTTTTAATAATCAAGGAATATCAGGAACTATAGAATATAAAATAGTGTAGCTGAGGTATTGCAAGGACAACATCTGCTTTACCTCCACATTCTCCAAATCCTGACCATAGTTATCTGATTCAGCCATATTCTGTTTGCTCAATAGCCAAGCATCCACCAGTTGAGTTTCCCTCTCAAATTGATGCAGTTGTGATTGTTCCTGCAAAGCTTTTATTTGTCTCTCTGCCCTATCCTGGAGAGACAGGTATTGGTCTAAAACAGACTGAAGTTTGGGCAGGATAATTGAACTATAAAGAGAGATAGAGAGACATCAACATAGACACAGAAAAGAGAGTTTAGAAAATGGGCATCACTCATTTATACAGCTATCCCTGTTCCCAGCAATTTTCATATACAGCTCTTGTTTAACACAAACTAAAAGTTTATGTTTATTACCTATTTGTCTATCTTTCTACATGTTACTAATGGTTCTACATGTTACTAATGTACATACGAGTTGTGCATGAATACTATTTGATTCGAGAGCAAACCATTGTTTGCAAAATTAGTATAGTATATTCAGAGTCTTTAATTCCAGATGTAATCCAAGCCATGCTTAAATCTGAGCAGGATGACCACTTTTTAAATACCCTGATAGCATTTTATTCATGGAGAAAAAGACCTCTACCTCAGTTTTTCTCCCAAGCTTCGGGATAACATGAGGTAACTGCATATTGAACGTTTGACTTGGCACCAGGCTTTTGTTTTTAATATGCTTGCTTTATAACTTTAATATAGTTTTTATGTTGTTTTGATTTTTGATTGCAAGCTTCCCAGTGTTTGTTAAAGATGGGCGACATTATGACTTATTGTGACATTCAGAAAACTTGTTAAGATTTCAGATCTTTATTTGAAATTTATCAACTCAATCAAATAGTTACAGGATTGTTCTTAAAGTTTTACAACTCATATGCTTCTGGCAAAGCAAAAATTCAAATAGCACAAATGTTTGCACGCAGAAGGGGCTTTATGAAATAATGCCTGAAGAAGTCTTGAAAATAACAGAAACTGTTTTACTACTTGATTCTCGTCCAAAAGGTTTATAGACACCTACCTTTCTGTGTTATTACTGTTCAAGAAATAGTCTCCTGTTTCCTTCAGCTTCTCAATTCGGGATTTAAATCCCTCCAGATCAAGCTTTGTAGCTTCCATTTTACGTAACAGTGCTTGAGTTGATACTTCATTTCTCCCATAATCTGGAATTTCTAGCAGAAGTCCTTTTTCTGCCATCCAGGATTCTACTTCCAAAAGCTGAAAGAAAAGCAGAGCTGATGGGACTTGCATATGAAACAAATTGTTGTAATCTGCTGAAACAGAACTATATTCAACAGAGACAAAACAAACTAGGCATGCTCTCAACTAAATATGTGGATCAATGTAAATCCTATCCACGCCAGTATAGCATATATACATATATTAGTCCATTTTGTCAAGTATTCAACACCTCATTTTTAATGCAAAAACTATACAATAGTTGTACACAACTTTCCACAAAGCCCAAGGAATATTAAATTAAGGATTCTTGTTTAATAGTTCCTAGCATTGACAGTTCAAAGATATTGTGTAGTTATTTTATTTTTAGTCCATTACAGAATTGGAGGAGGAAAGAAGAAAGAGGTAGAATAAACACAGGAAAAGATGCAAGGTTTACACGTGGAACATGTTGACTCAATGCTGACAGGATTCCTTATAAAATTCCAAGGAAGAGGAATGTTAACTGCAGGAAAGAAAGCATTCTGCTTCAGAGGAGGAAAAGGAACAAAACTGGAAAAAACAGTACAATACTTTGACCTTTGAGGAGTCAGATTTTTCCAAAAAGAGGAAACATTATATTTCTTTTCTTTTCATTTCATTTAACATTTAATTTAATAAAAGCTAGGCAGTAATATCCATTTAGACTCTAATAATGTATTTACTAAATTAATAGAAAATATTTGACTCTCCACATATCTGAACACAGAGACAAGCAAACAGAGGCATGTCACACCAAATGGCTTCCCTGATTTTGCTTTTCTACATAGCTACCCATACACCTATGGAAAGATGCTCCTGAATTGCAAGAACCACTTCGAATAACATAGTTGAAGTGGGGATGGGTTAGAAGAGAAGGACTGCATCAGGATAAAGAAATTTGGTCAGTTCAGCTGAGTTGGTTTAGAAAAGAAGTGATGCTTGGAATGGATCTAAATGGTAGAAATTGAACATGGCTTTCCATCACTACTTTACCTCACTGAAAAAATGCTGGGCTTTATGAGATTCTACAAGCCTCCATCTTCTTTCCTGAGCTTCATTCTTCAGATTTTCAAAGGAAATTATCAGTTCCTTTATTTGTCCCAAGACTGCTTGGGAAGCAACCTGTTTTTCCTTCATCAGCTTCTGCCCAGAACTGATAACTGCTTGAATCAAGGCATCATGGCTGTTAATCTCATTCTCTAAATTCTGGAAAATATAAGATAAGAGATACATGTATTTTAAAAATGTAAGAATTTTCTCCGTATATTCATCAGTACGTCTATGTTTTTAGGTTGTCAAGCTGCAAGCACACCTCTTTTAGATTTTGCTAACAATTTTAAATATCCATGTAGAGTTTTGCATCTATAGGAAAATTGCCAACATAAGCAAGTGTCTACTCACATGAATGTAATAACAGACTCCACTTTGATGGTGTCTTTTTTAATAGCTGCACTGTCCTATACCAACAAGGTATGGTAAAGGAGGTTAGCACACTCTAATTTGTTTCTCTAGCTATCAACTTAAAGAGGTTAGGAACAAGTTGTGCCTGATAAATAAACAGAAGGACATGTTTTAAAAATGCAAATCTGGGGATTTTAGATGGAGATTTAGATACTTTTCTTGTCACCATCACAGAAACCACCCAATTAATATTATATGCTTCTTTTTTAGAATACAAACAAGCTTATTTTTCTAATTACAAGCAAACAGTAATACTTTCAGTGTGAATGAAATATGGCTTTGATGTAGGTTTTGTAATATTTGTTGCTGTTATTGCTTACACTATTTTTGCTGTTAATCTGTACATCATAATGGTGACTGAGGTGGCTTAAAACTGATTAAACAAACAAATAGATAAAATTGTCATTGTTTTAAATTATGGATCCAAGAGGCCAGTGTGATTTTTACTCTGTGTTACTGTCTTTAACTTTTTTCAATAAATAATAACAGATGCAATGCAGAGAATGTAATATTTGTTTGTATTCAGATAAGAGGCGCAGACATATTTCTTGATAGCAAAACATGTTGTAGAAGATTACTCTTCCTCTAGAAAAGTTTTTATCAATTTCAGCGACTTTAAGACATGTGGACTTCAACTCCCAGAATACCCCAGCAACATGCCTTAAAATTTCTGAACTTGGGAAAAACTGCTCTAGAAAAAGATATTGTTCATTTAATTCACTTCACTATGATGTGAAAGTGTGAAATCATGCAACTTTCTGAAAGTGAACTTGTAGGCCTTGTGGTAATCTAGCTAAAGTAAATAAAAATAAAATTTAAAAAGCAATGGAAGAAGTGAGAAAGAATTTCTTTCTGCTCCATTATTTCCTGTTTTAGTCACTCCAGCTGTTTTACCTGGTGCTTTTCCTGTAAGCTTTGAACAGTTGCTAGTGACTGACCATAGTCTCTGGAAGATGCCAAAGGGAGTTTCTCGTGAATCCAGGTAAACTCTTCATTGACATCCTGGAGGAACTGGTACAGCAATCTGTTGGCTTCCAAATGCTGCTGCCTTTCCTGGAGTGGCTCCCTAAAACTTTTGTATCTGGAGATTCAAAATGAAGTTGTGGGTTTGATTGTTTTTGTTTAAGGAAGAAAAATTATGGACTAGCATACATTGACTGTTAACATTAAAGACACCAGGCTAATAATCTGAAGAATGATAATACTATTTAAGGTGAGAATTAGAATATTTAGAAGGGAGAGCAGAGCAGGGGGAAATTGCACAACGGTTCAAGCACCTGTGTACCACCTGGTCCACTCTTATCTCTATCTCATCTGCCAGAAAATGTTTCTCCTCCTGCAGTTCTTGCACGTTGTTGATCAGACTTTGGAAATGGTCCCTGTGGGCAGCAAAGCTGGTTTCCAGTTCTTCCTGTTTCTTTAGGAGATCATTCAGAATCAGTAGATTATCACTGCTTTCTGGTATTTTCATATCGCTCTCTAGGTCTTCCAGCCATTTATCAGCCTCGTCTACAATATGTAGAAATTGCAGAGCCTGAAGCCAGAGGGGAAAAAATCCATATAAATAATGACATTTAAACACTGTAGCTACTAGTATCATTTGTGGATTGATCAGTTCTATTTCTACAATAGCCTCTCACAAACATAAACATAATACATTTATTTTAGTCTTTTTGCTAACTGAAATTTTGTTAACCATCTTGGGGAATTTCCAGAATGACCAAGTTACCACTAAAGCCTTAAGTTCTCTCCTGTTGTGTTTACCTTGTAAGCATCCAGAATTTTTCTTTTCTTTTCCTCACAGTTTTCCAGCAACTCATCCCAAAGCTCATCTATTTCCTGGAGTCTAGACTGGAGGACACCAGAAGCATAATGCCTTTCATGGAGCATTTTCTCTCCTTCCTGCAAAAAAAGATACTCAAAGTCATCTCTTGTGGCTTAGTTTTCTATATGATGTCTTTAAACAACTATACCTTCCAACAATCTTATCATTATAAGTTTTTAAATTTTTTTTTGCCTAAGATAAGACTGCAAATTATTTGTTTAACTAAGATACCTCCAGAAACACCATTTCAGAAATTCTCATTCTTTGAAATGTACTGAAACTGGTCAGGCTTCAAAAATTACTTGGAAAGTATCGGAACAAGGGCACAACATCTGCTTAAAGAGGATGTATCTTTTGTCAGATTTCTGCATAAGCCCGAATGAGAAGAGAGCTACTTTTATGAAGCAATTCATCAAAGTAGTTGTATGTCTAATGAAACTCCTTAAAGGAGCCATTTTTTGTATACAGAAAACATAGCTGCTTTAAGGTAGCAATGTGCCCATAGTCACAGGTGTAATGAACTACCTCTTCTGAATTATTTTTGAATAATTATAATGCATAACATAACAAAACATAAAACATAGCATAAAATGTAACATAACATAACATAGCATGGTATTTACTTACTGTTTTGATTCTGTTGAGGTGATTTTTGTTAGCCACAATCTCTGCCTGGAAAGTCTGATGCTTTTGTAGTTTAGCTTGAAGATTGCTGGGATCTCTCCAGCTTTCATCAAGGGCAATACTGTTTTTTTCACTCATCCAGGCAGCTATCTTTGGATAGAAAAACATAGTTATCAGTCCACTGATTAGATTAAATTACCAGTAGTTCCAGGAACTGTCTCCCATCTGAAACCCTGAAAGAATAGCAACAAGTCTATTAAGCAATTTAGTCCCCCGCTATATTCTTTGGACTGTACTACTGTACCACATTTGGTTCTTATTGCATTTGCTGGGTTTGGAAGTTTTCAAATTTCTTTTTCTGGTATAGTAAGAGTGTCAAACTTGATTTCATTGAGGACTGCATCAGGTTTGACCTTGGGGGAAAGGGGGCATGGCCAGGCTGGGTGTGGCCAGCTTGACATCACTCATGTCAGGGGTGCCCAAGCGCTCTGCCAGAGAAAACAGAGCTGGCAGATGCACTGCAGACCGGTCCTTCACTGTTTCCAGGGTAGACCAGATTTAAGCACCCCGCAGGATACGGCCCGTGGGCCTTGAGTTTGACACCCCTGTGGTATAGAAATACGTGTGTGTGTGTGTCATAATTAAGACCGTAATTAAGCACACACTTAGTCCAAACAACTCTCTTTTTGTTTCAACACTGAGGATTATGTTCATTCCCAGCCTGTAATGAGTCCCAAACAGTCTCTCAAGATAAGCACTCACCTTTATCTCCTTTGAATTGCTGCCAACAACTAAAGTGCCAAATTAACTGTAAAAAGCCATATGGAGTACAAAGTCCACACAGAACTTTAAGGTTTAATCTGAACAGAGCGAACAACATTGCTTCCTGCAAAGGTTCCTGTCCCTTTGCTTCTTTATATCTTATGGGAGGGCCAATCACCTCCAAGCCTTATTCCCGAGTCACACATTTTGTCTTAACTGTTCTTGCCTTCTGGCAGCTCTGCGCACACGTGCACTGGGAACAGACTCCCCTTATTCCTCTGCCTTGCTGCTGTCAGATTCTGGATACTCCAGAGTCAGAACATAACTCCCAGATGGCCCTGGCCTCATCTCTGTAATGGATGCAGACCATCATCCAAGTCCTCACCAGACTCCTGGACTGGCCCTTGTTCTTCCCCACTGTCCGACTCTGCTGCCATCTCCGCAGGCTGCCAGAGGACCACAATAATATATATATAAATATTAAAAATATTCAGGAAATTAAATGAACATATGATACCTCAAAAGAATTGTGCAGAAATTTTTGTAATAGCCAGGACTCCTCCAGCAGACGTCTCCGCATTAAAGCAATTTCCAGAAGCTTTTCCTTTCTAGGAAGAATAAATAATACTGGTGATATAAGTCAATGCAGCTTGTAAAACTGCATTTCAGAAGTAATTATAAATGCAAGCTGAATCTTTGCCAGGGCAGTAGAAGGAAAACACAATAAGCACAGCGTGAGGAAATGAAGCAGCAAGTGCCATAGCAGTTGTTCCTCAAATGGGCACATTATAAAAATCTTATCTTCTTTTCAGAGTGATGAGATGGGTGAACAATCACTGTATCTCCTAGGGGTTTATTTGAAGGAAACAATAATGTAGTTAATGAGTGGTAAGTAATAAAAAAAAACCCATTAAGAGAGAGAAGAGAGTTGAGATAGTTAAACCATATAAGATATAGAGATGAAACGGGAGAAAAAAATTGAATGGTACCTTCTCAACACAGCCTGGCATTTAGTCATTATATTCTCTGAATCATAATGCTGACTGTCCTTCAGCTTTTGGGCAAAGATAGCTATATTATCAATCTTCATCAGATGGGTGTTCAAGTCTTTTTCAAATTGCATGTGCTTTTGCTGAAGACTTTCCACACTGGATATCGAATCCTGCGTCAATTAGAACAAGTTAATGTAAAATGGAATGGCAATTGATAAGAATTCTGAGAGTTGTTTGGCAATTGAAAAATGCCCAGGTTGGGAAGAGCTGATCTTATGTCAAATGATTAGTCCAACCTACTTTCCATTAGAAGAGTTATGTTTATAAAGAGTTATGCTTATAAACTGCCTAAATGTATATAAATCATGCAGGCACAGAACAAGAGAAGGATTTTGGGAATCACTATCCTAAACAGGCTTCACATTATTTCTATGAAACTTCCTTTTTAATATGAAGTCAAAGAAAATTAGGTTCCTCCCAAGCAACCTTTGTTTACTTTTAGGTCTATAGAGCTCAGATATAATAAGCTGTCCAGAGTCATTTTATTGGTAAGATGAGTAAAATATAAATTTAATAACTAAATAAATAAACAAATACATTTTAGAACACTATGTTCCCCCCCCCCAAAAAAATTCTCATTCTGCGTAAGTTTCTGCTTCTCTTGATTATATGGCAGCAAAACTGGGTTGAATAATGATGTCACAGACCAGAAAATCCAATAATCTTGCCAAAAGGTACATGATAGAATGAGAAATTCAGTGGGACTGTGGTAGAAAAAAACCCTGAAAGTAAATATTGCAAAATGTTTTGTTCTGCACTTTTATTCTATGCCTATATTTTCCACTTTTGAATGTGAATAGTCTATTTCACTTACCCCCAAGTCTTTGTTTGTTAGGAAGGCCTCTTTGCTACTTAGCCAACTTTCACTCTCTTCCACATAACCAACAAAAATCTGTTTAGGAGAGAGAAAAAAAGCTTTGTCACTTCAATATAATTACATTTCAAAGTTCAATGGGGTTTAGTTGGAAATAAGAGTGCTTAGAATTGGACCCATATATGAACACTATAGTACAGTATATAAAAGCTGTCCATGGAGCCTTTGCAGTATTAACAAAGGAGAAATAGGTAGCTTCAGAATAGTGGTAGATAAGCGATTCCTTTGGGCAGTTTTGCCTTTTTTGAGTTTGCAAGATAGCATAAATATTGTAAATAGATTTTATCCACCAAGCCTGGTGGCTATCATTGTTCTACTCATTCGATCTACAGTCATCTTGTAATTATCCATATTTAAACAGGGCGGATATGATAGTCACAGAAAATGGTGATTAAATCAGTTCTCTCTAGTCTAAAAGATTAGTTCAGGTACACAACCCAACATTTTAACTTTTAACTAGGAACATCAGGAACTGAATCAAGAATTTCTGTATGTGTTATGCTGTCCTTCAGTATACTGCAGTTGTTCCCCTGATTCGTACACCATTTCAAAGAAAATGGGATCCTTAAACATACCTATTCTTTCAAGGTTTTCCCATATAGGGAGAGTAGATCAAAAGTTCCAGTTCCTGTTATTTAAAATTGAAATCATGCCATGATGCATTTAAGGAGAAATATCCCACTAAATCAAAATTATCCAAAAAAGGTTGAGGCTGAGCTAAAGATCTGTTTTAGGATTCAAAATTTTTTTGAAAAGAAAAAATATATAAATATACTTCTTCTCTTTGGAGAGGATTCTATGTTTAAAAAATAATCACAGCAACCACTGCTTGCTTTCATTTGCCATGCCGTAACTACCAACCAAAACCTTCCTGACAGTATTAACTCTTATTCTTGTGGGTTACTTCAGAATTATTTTTTATTTTTAATCTACCTGTAAGTCTCTGGCTTGATGTAATTTTAGACTTTGTTCTTCATAGGCCTGGATCATTTCATTTAATGCTTGTTGTAACTTGATGAGGGAATGATGGATCTCAGAAGCCGCATAATGGCCAGAATTGCCAAGTTTCTGACCGTAGTTGCTAAGAGCACCAAATCTTTCTCCTCGAGCTTCAATCTCTGCCTAAAAGATGTCAGACAGATTTATGGTAAATGTTTAAGCAGAATCAACATTTGAGTATTTTGGAAAACAAAAGTAGTAAGCAGAACTTGGTTTGGGAAAGAAGGAAGGTTTCAGAATTTGAAAAAAATATAAAGAATAAGTTACCCTCTCTTTCACCTTAGTAAAGACTAGTTTTTACCCTAATTAAATCTGGAAACATTTAGCTATAAATGAAACATGTTTTTAATTGCACATTATTAAGACAAACAGTGTTACCCATAATACCCAAAATTTCAATTTTCTTTTTGTGTTTACAGCAGATTTCATTATGCGAAGCACTTTTATGATTGTATTCTTGATGTTAATATTAGTAACATCAAATGTGTTTATTTAATTGATACCTTCCATCATTTCCAATTTATGAAAGAAGTGAAATAAGTGATTTTTAAAAATTATTTGACCCATTATCCCTTTTCCTAGCATTGAATCCCCACAAAACAAAAAAGACAAAAACCAGACTCTGCTATTTTACAGAAGCATCTTAGTGACAGCTGTCCCATGCTGGATGCATAACTCACAAATAAGCCATTATAAATTGTTCCATCATCTCCAGAATACACTCCATTTACCCTTACTGTAACAACCTATAAATTAAGCTCTGGATTCTATGAAGCATTCCAGATGTCTTTTTTAGTCTGCCAGTAAATTATATGACTCACTGGCCTTTTTTATGGTGTGGATTGTCCTCCTGCCCCCATCTTTTCTTCAAAAGAAAAACTTTCCCCCTCATCTTTAGATCTCTGAACAAATGAACTTCTGCACCTTATCTCATTTCTGAGTGGAAACAGAAGACTTTCAGGATCTAGAATTATTCTTTTCTCCCTTTTCCTCCTGATACTTTGCATGTTGTTCATGGTGCTTTCAATGTCTCAAAGCATGTGTTAATACTATCAAACCCTAATATTCCTTCTTTTCTCCTTTCCTTTTCTATGGTTCAGAAGAATGTTTGTAGTACAAAGACAAACTTAGCATAATACCTCCAAATGTGCATATTCCAAGGGAGCCCCTCTATAACATGACCTCAGTAGGCTTAATAGCATCCACCCAGAGCAGGATATTTATTAGCTTCTTTTTTTCAACTATTGCTTGAGCATTTGGGCATTTGTAGGCCTCCTCAGAGGCAAAATTATTCAAACCAATAAGTACTTCCAAATTTAAAAGTTCTAGATTTGCAAAAAATGTGCTCATGTTTACACTGCTATGAATTTTAGCACAGTCCAAATAAAACTCAGATTTACAGACACAACAGACCACATCTGAGCTTAGAAAAGGATGCCCCAGCTCAAAAAGTAAGCACAGAAATAAGTAATGGGAATGTAATTACTTGGTGTGCATATTGCTACAACCAATGCTATTTCAGTTGTCAAATATTGAAACTGCTTGTTAAGTACTTTTTAAAGTAATGGAAACTATTATAAAGATGGCAATGCTATACTGATATAATTCATACTTGCCTTTATTTCTTGATGCTCCTCTATCAGGATTTCTGCTTCAGCTAGACTTTTAGGAAGATCCCCAATTTCAATTTGACTTTTGATTTCGTGAATCCAATCTAGTAATTCCTTCAGTTCAGAGTTAAACTTCTGTAACTGGTAAGAAGCTAATAGCTTCTCACACCTTTTGTACACAAAAAAACATAAACGTAATCAAAACTCTTACTAAATATAATCTACTGGAATAAAATTGAGTTTAATGAAAACAGAAAGATTGTAAATTGTTGTTTACTTATTTCAAGGGGGATGTAAGAATACATACTTAAACATGTTGGGCTTTTCACATTTCTAGTTTTCAAATCATATTTTTTTCCTTAATAACATTAAAGTCCCTAGAGAGAAGAACTCTATTATTGTACATGCCAATCGGATTCTGCTGCCAGAATTTGGTTAGATACCTTAAATTCACTTTCTTCCTCTATCCTCCGATTTATTTACTCACTTTCATCCCCCAAACAGGAACCAAACTAAGTGATCCAAAATAAGTAAAACTTTGAAATCTACCATATCAGGCTCCAAAGGAGAAGAAATGTACCTTTGTAGGATGGAATATTAATGCCAGGACTCCTAGTTCTATTCATTTGCATGAACCTAACATTTACAGAAGATGGAGGAACTTTGCTTCTTCACAAAGATTTCAGTCCTTTTCACAACCAGCAATAGCTTTTAGTAATCATCTGATGGATAATACGTTCTAAGAGCATTTATTAATCACATAGTGGCTGTAAGGTTGCCACATGAAGTTCTCTGGCACCAGATGGTTCTTAAGGTAAAGAATGGGTTACCTATTGAAATGTCATCTAGATCCTGCACTTAGCAGGGACTTGGACTAATTGACTTATAAGGTTCCTCTCAGCTTTGTAATTAAACACACCTATTCATATATTGTAGAATGTGTCTTTGGAGTCTAAATGTTGGAAGACTAGTTTGAATTTCCACTAAATAATGGCACAAAGCAGGACAAACTAAAGCACAGTACTGTATGTGAAATCTACAGATTGAAGATGTAATGTATGCAGAGGAGACAGGAGGAAGAGCCACATAGGTCTGACATAGGCCTAATAAACAAAATCTGAGTCCATAGGGCAGGGGTTGCAATAGAAAAGGCAGTTTTCCATGGACCCATAAGATGGCAATATTCTAAAGCAGAGGTGTCAAACTCACGACCCACGGCCCGGATGCGTCATTTGCTGGCCCCGCCCCAACCCCCACCCAGTTAGCAAAGGGGAAAAGTCCTGATATGTGACATGATGCCGCCATGAGTTTGACATCCCTGGTTTAAAGGAAGGGACATGGAACATGCCTATCAGAGGTGGTATTCAGCAGGTTCTGACCAGTTCTGGAGAATCGGTAGCGGAAATTTTGAGTAGTTCAGAGAACTGACAGATACCACTTCTGACTGGAGATTTTACAGTATCCTTCCCTTGCCACGCCCACCAAGCCACGCCCACAGAACCGGTAGTAAAAAAAATTGAATCCTACCACTGATGCCTATTTTATCTGCTCTAAAGGGGCATACAGATGGCCTCGGACAGAGATGGTCCCGCAGGTCACCTGATCTTATGCCATTTAGCATTTTAAAGGTAATAGCCAGCACCTAGAATTGCACCCTGAATTTACCTTTGTTTGGTCTGATTCTGCAATTGTAACCAGTGATTTCTCATTTCCTTCTGTTTTATAGTCAGTTTGCTACTTATAGTAGATGGATTCCTTTTAATTTGACATAGTTCTGGTTCCAGTGACTGAAAGAAAAACAGGCATTCTGTCTAGTTAACATGCTTTTCCTTCTGAAGCTGTTCCTAATTTACAAATCTATTATGTGTCAGGCTTTTCTTTTCATGGCAGTTCAAAAGGCTTATTGGAAGGAAAAAAGAGAGAGAACCAATTTAGTTTGTGCCCAGCCACATTTCCAGACAATCTTTGTAACCAAATCAGAGTAAGCACATACACCACTCAGTTCACACCTGGACAAACATATAATTTGATATTTATTTATTTATTAAACACCAGCCACTTATAAAAAAACCAATCAGGACAAAAAGCAGGCAAAGGTAGGGAGAAAGTAGAAGAAAGATATGATAGAAGACCAAAAGGGCAGAGGAACTTAATATCGACAATCTACATATCTCAATCTATAGATCAAAAAATCATTTCCAGAGTTAATGAAAAGTATATAAAGGATAAGTAGCATGGACTATCTCTTTCAGGGAATAGCCTTTCGTTATTCTTGATTTAATTCTTATGTACATCACAGCAGTAGAACAGATTAAAAGGGATTAAAAGGACATCGGATTATCCTTCCCCTATTTTGTACCATTAAAAGAAAAACAATTTTATGGACTAGGATGTATCCTATACAGATAAATTTTGGCTGACAGGTTACAGGCGTGGAACATCTGATTAGACAACTTGACAGGAAATTAAACTTGCTATTCAAGTCATCTGCCTACACTTGCCTAGCCCTGCCCTACCACAAGTTAAAAAGAACAATTGGTGGTTGTTGTTTTTCTACTGGTAGGTAGCACTTCATGGAATGGGAAAGGAAGTCATCAATAAGTTCCTTTAATTTGTCCTTTATTAAAACTGTGTGGGCAATACTGCTCACCATAGCCTATTACTGTGACAGAATTTGCTTTCCCAGCAAATCACTAGCTTCCCATGGTTGGCTGGCTTTGCCTTGGAGCTTTAAGGTCAGATAACAAGGTTCTTCCTGCTTGAATGTGATGTTCTTGCTATTCTTAAGAAATCTATTATTAGTTCTGCAACTGGTTTTGGTGCAGCAGGACAGCATGGGTCACCCAGTAACATTTAGAGTTCTCTGATGGGACCCAGTTTTGGAATAAATATAAACATGAGGATAAGTAAATATCTTTAAGCCACTCCACAAAGCAAAATGTAAAGGTAAGGACTTGCCTCAGCTATCCCCTCAGGAAAGCATGACTCTTGAAACAAGTAGTTATCAAAAGGAACTTTTACTGAGAGAAAGTGATTGCAGAGAAGTCAGGCAGAATCTGAAGTTCTCACACAAAGAGTTAAGCTATTCTTCCCCTTTCAAAACCCCACCCCTTCACCAGTCCACCAGTAGCCAATACAGGTCCGAAAAGGTGTTTTGAGAACTCTGAGGTGTAAGCTTTATAGCAGTTCATCCTCAGAATGCAGCAACCTTGGTGTCAGACTAGAACCAGTTGGGAGGAAGTCCATCAATTCTCTGAGATAGATAGTCCCCTTCCCTATATCTCATGTGGTTACAGCAAAAGCAAAAGCATGCATGGAAGCAACCCCGATAGCCTCCTCTCCCCTCCATCAGAATGACAGTGTCCCAAAGGGGGACCTGACAGTAAAGTTTGAATGATGGGGACACCTTGATTTACCAAGTTAACTACACATCTATGTTGAAAATACAAGCACAATAAAACTGGCATTCTTTGGACTCAGTATAGAAATATTCTGGTCATCCAAAAAGAAAAGTAGTCACACTCATCCCTGAAAGTGAATAACTATAATAAAACGCAATTTATTTCGTTATTTAAAGAAAATCATCATTCCACTATTCTATTCTTAAGGTTTCAAACACAGAATCTAAATACGGTATGCTTGTATTCATACTACTCTGATTCCCTACCAAAAACTGCAGAATAAATCAAACTTCTGAAAAGAACCAAGTTTTAGGATTGAGATGATAGAAATGAGATTACTACACAATTCTAAATAGTTTGTATGCAGGGCAAATTTCCATGATTTATGTTCCTATTATTTGCAATTATATTTCAAGTATTAATTATGTTTTACCTCCATCTTGGATTGAATGATGCCAATTTCTCTCTCCATTTCATCATGCTTCCGAAGTAGATTTTCTACACTTTCAATATCTTTTCCATAATCCAATGCTTGTATCAGTGAACTCTGAGGAACACAAAAAATGAAGAAAAGATGATAACTTGATTCTTTACAAAATTGCATCTTTGAATATTTTCATCCTTTTGATATTTCTAACTTAAACTTTATATCTTTATATAATACTACTAGAAGAATTTATGAGATACCTATAGAACAAATTTTTAGGCACTGAGTAATCACTTGATAGATTGATAAAAAAAATCCCAAACCCAGTCTAAACATTTGGCTGACTGTACCACCAACTGTAATAATTTTGTCTTTGAGGGCTCTCAGTTATCTACCCCTGATTTAAGTAAAATTAGAATTTTGCTAACCTGAAAAATCAATCCATCTCCACCCTCAAGTTCAATCCATTTTCTATCAAAATTAAATCTTTTCATGCATATTTGTTTTTATTTATTAATTATTCAGGAACTGCTGAATGAAACTGATTCTAATAGTAAAATATTAAAAACCATTTGAGTAATTTTCTTTTTATAGGACTAAAAATACTGAAATTATCAAGTTTAATAAAGCTGATACATATGAAAAAAAATTAATATGCCTAATTGTATTAGCATTTTCAGAGTATTTCACAAAAAGCTCTTAAAATAAAGAAGAGACAAGGGAGCAAGTACTTTTTGTTCAGGAACGTTTTTCTGACTCTCTCTTTTCTTTATACCTCTAATTGTCGAAATTCCATCTTGACATTTTATTACTATTTGGTTTTCTGAAATGTTATCCACTCTGGAGAACTTGTCAAGATAAAAAAGCACCTTTAAAAATAATAAAATAAATCACCTTTTCACCAATTCTCTCTGTGATGTCATTAATTTCTCTAATCAAGGCATGGATCTGCAGAGCTTCTTCCAACTTCCTCTTATATGTTTTAAGATCACCATGGAAACTGTTCCACCTGTCATTGAAACATTTCATTTTATTTGAGAAGATCAAATATATCGAATATGGGATTATAGCAATAAAAATATTTGAGTTTATGATTCCCACCGGCTCAACTTTATTTATCTATATGTCTAAGTAAGCACAAACAAAAACACATCACAAAGTGATTAATGTACAAGACTGGATCTGATTGAGTAGCAATAAAAGGGCTGTTCCCCCAACAGTACTGACTTCCCTTCTGCTGATTAGTGTTTTCTGTCACCAGAGGGATTTTAATCAGACAGTACCAAGTTAATTGAAATAATTCTTATTTCACAATTATACTTTATGTGGGTTGAGTAGCTTGAGGTTACATTGACATTTATTCCTAACTAGAAGATTGCCATTGCCTTAGCAATTTTGATTTCAATGACATTTATGATAAAAATTCTTAACAACTGTTGGGAATGAAATTCAAATAGTTCAAGGTCACTCCCTCTTTACTCTTACACACCCATTATGACAATTCAATTATACTTGAAGATGATATATGAAAGAAGAGCAGCCTTTCCCATGTAAACATCAACACAGGAATGCCAGTGTTTCTGTCTGGCTCTAGTCAGATTTGATTGAACATTTTCCTCTTTGTTTGGATCAGTAGAATTTATCCACACACTTTTCATTCAGCTGTTCTTGGCGTTGGCATATTATTTTCATCTCTTCATCATTCTGCCTCTTCAATCGCAGAGCGAGAGCATTGATGTCTTTGATGTGTGCATCATCCACTGTTACCCCCTATAAGACAAAAGTCAAAGAGAAAATAGATAATAAAGCAAAATTTTAATTTTCTCTTCTCTCCTCTCCTTCCTTCTAGGATGCTAAGTCTTACATCTGTGTATGTATGTTAAACCTAACTACAAGTTCCTATTGGGTATCTGCATTTCTCAACATTTACTATCTCTCTGGCTTCCTGGAAGGAACATCCTTAAAATTGGCATTTTTATCTGTCTGTCACCATTTTTTTTCTATAATTCTTTGCCGTGAAAAAGGGTAGAAATGGAAACAAAAATGTGAAGGAGTTTTCTTCAGTATATAAAATGCAGGTAATTTTCAACTTACAATAGTTATAAAACTTACAAAACTTTGCATTTTGATAGTGTGAGTCCTATAACTCCACTTCATTCAGTTGTTGACTGTAGTCCTTGACTTACAACAGTGCATTTAGTGACTGTTCAAAGTTACAACAGCTCTGAAAAAGTGACTAATTTGTGATCATTTTTCACACTTACAACTGTTGCAACATCCCTATGGTCACATGATCAAATTTCAGACACTTGGCAACTGACTCATATTTATGATAGTTGCAATGTTCCAAGGTCATGTGATCACCTTTGGTGACCTTCTGACAAGCAAAGTTAATGGGAAAGCCAGATTCAGTTAACAACCATGTTACTAACTTAATAACTGTTGTGATTCACTTAATAACTGTGGCAAGTTATTGGGTGTGTTTGTATGTATATGTAAATATGAGAGAGGGAGAGAGAGAGAGAGAGAGAATTATTTGCACCAAGACAAATACCTTGTGTGTCTAATCACACTTGGCCAATAAAGAATTCTATTCTACAAGGATAAAATATGAGAAGAAATGCTGTGCGTACCATTTTGAAGTCTCTTCTTGGTATAATGTAATTCAGGGAAACTCTAGCATTCATATGGCAAATTAGAAGGCCAACAATTTAAAAACCTAACAATTTTGATGTCACACTAACTTTCATCAATCAAATTATTCTGAACTACCATTGTCCTGACCTGCTATGTATTATTTAGCTAGCAGAAATAATATGACTTACCTCTGACATTCCTCGGAATTCTTTTAATTTTTTCAAAAGCTGAAGGCAGTGTTCGTAGTCATTCCCCACATCACCAATATTAACCATAACTACCTGGTGAGCAACACCAATACCATTAGGAGTCCATTAAAACACAACTAAATCTTCAATGTATATCTAGTTTTTTTTTCTTCTGGAATTCAAGTTTATTTTTGGAGTGACAGCCAAAATGACTGGAAAATGTGCTTGATGAAGAAAAAAGTTTCATGATAGCATTAAGGTTTCTCTTGACTTTTGGGGAATATTAAATATTTTTAGAAATATTAAATATTTGTTCCCAATTATGTAACACTAGAGTCCAATAAATTCCCACGTACAGTCCATACAATTATGTAACAGTTTTTTTTAATGCAAAATAAACTTTCTAAAATACCCATATAAAATGAATGGCAATTGCTTAACAGAAGAGTCTTAATACATTTTGGAACAAGAAATCCCCTTCCCCTTGATGATCATCAAGTTAATGGCTGGAAGATGTACATTTTGTACTCTTTTGAATATTGCTTTTAAGGATAAATTTCTAGTACATAACAAACTAATATTCTAGAAGGGGAGCCATGCATATAGAACACAGCAGAAGCCTCTGTATAATACAGGCTTGATTTATATCCACATATTTGAAAACAGAAAAACACTTCAGGCATTTTTTCAAAATAAAACAAAAGCGTATATTTTCTGCTACAATTACCATTTTACAAACGTTTCAGCTATAGAAGTGTTTTCTAAACTGAAACAGTGGTCTGCAAATTCACTAACCTTGTCCCTGATCCAAGCCTCTGCGTGATTGACTTTTTGTAGAAATTCAAGAAAATCCCTGCTCTCCTCAAGCATTTTTCCATGAGCAGCAACAGCCTGATTCAACATTTCCCACTGTTCTTGGAGCAAGTACATCTTTTGGCAGATCTCTTCCGATTGAGGAATATTATGATGTTGTAGAGCTTCTCCTCTCTTTAAATAGTTAAGAGAGAATTCTTAATAAGAAGATTGCAATATTTCTATGCTATTTCTAACACAACTCAGTTCTAAAAGATTGGAAAGCCAGTGGTAAAAGTTAAACACATAGTATACTTAAGTTTGGTTCCAGGGTATCTGATCCAAATTTCTATCCAGCAGAGATAGAGGGATTGACTGATTTGACATGTAAATTATTCAAGATATGAGAGAGAAGTAGAAAGATTCTGTTAGGAATATATCACCTAAAAGCTATTTGGGTTAGAAATATATAAACCAGGATAAACATTTTAAAACTGTAACTTTAAGAAAATGCAAAACTGTAATTAGGTGTGGTTTTTCAAATGGCCATAAGATGGAGCCAGAAACCTGGGTTGTCTTAGTCTGAGTCTCAGAAGAGAGTGTGAGTATATCTCTGTTTCCTTCTGTTGGAAAGTATTGCCATTCCTCCATTTTTCCTAATTGACTGATATTACTGGATTTGATGTAAGTCTGATACTGAACTGTTTTTGACACTGGAATTTGATATTTGGATTATTCCTGGATTGAAAAACTGACTGATTTACCTGTGAATGACTTTGGATTGCTTATTTTGGACTTTGCTTAAACCTTTCTGGAAGTAAAAACTTACATTTACTGTACAGTGTATCTGTGTGCTCTGTGTGTATTATTCCAACACTACTCTCTATACGTCTCCCTGTATGTACTCATTCTCCTAACGGGGAATTACCTCAACACTGGTTATGGCCCAGACCATACCAGGCTCAGATAACTGAGAGTTGGTGTGAATGCACAGTACTGTATACAGATAGCTGTTTACTGTTTAATTGTGGGTTATTATCCTGGAAAAGATGGCACAAGTCACTTCAACAAGTCTATCACCGATAACCCGGTTGGATGGAACAAACTATGTTTCCTGGTCTATGAAGTGCAGTCTACTTCTGCATAAAGAAGGTTTATGGAATGTAGTTCAAGACCCACCGGATGTAAATGCTTGGGATCCAGCTAATGAGGACAATGCCAAGAAGCTTGCTGACTTTAAACAGAACAATGAATGAGCTCTTTGTATAATTGGACTAACACTGAGTGACCAGCAGCTAGTCCATATTCATGGAGAAGAGTCTGCTGCTAGGTGTTGGGAGAATTTGAAGAGGATTTATGTTCGTGACAGTGTAGGTGCACACATACATCTTACACGTAAACTGTTTAGAGCACGTCTTCTAAAAGGTGGAGATATGTTAGCTCATTTAAACTTCATGAAAAGAACTTTTCAAGAGCTACATGAAAAAGAACTAATATTTTCAGAGCTGCATCAAGTTTACATCATTCTTTCCTCATTGGATGAAAGATATGATGATTATATATCTTCACTGGAAGTCCTGCCCAGGGATAAACTGACATTGACTGACATAACTGGAAGATTGTTAGAAGAAGCAAGAAGACGGCTGAATAGGGACCAACTGAGGAAGGAACAACCACAAGAAGAAAATTTGTCTTCAACTGCCTATACTGTTAGGAAATGTTTTCCTTGTGGGGCTAGGGTACATATAGCTAAATTCTGTAAGAAGGGAAAACAACAGAATACTGGCAAACACCAGAAGGCCAAGAAGAATGTTAGTTTAGCTATGTCTAGCAATTCAACTGTAAACCATGATTTGTGGGTTGTTGATAGTGGAGCATCACAATGCATTACTAAAGATAGAAAAAGGTTTGTAAAGATGTCCACAAGTAAACAACATGTATCATTGGCAAATGGATGGAAGATGAACGCATCAGGTGAAGGTACTGCATATTGTCCTTGTATAAATGAACATTTAACTATGTTATATGTACCTAAACTAAAATTTAATTTGCTATCAGTAAGGGCTTTAGTTAATATT